TTTCAATTTCCCGAGCGCTGAACCTAAGCCAATTTAATCCCGCTTTAGCCGCGCCACCCCAACGAAACAGAAAAAAGAAAGGATAAGGAAAAAAGAAAATAAAAGTCTTTGTGCGTGAATTTTCTCTCCCTAAAATCCTCTTCTGCCTCTCTTTCTGTAATGGAGACGACTCAGTTCTGGTCTGTGATTCAGTAGTTTATTTTGGATTCGAAACTCGTCGAAAACTAAGAAGAAATTCATAAAATTTCAAGTAGAAGCCTTAGCTTAACGAGATTAGAGAAAGTAATCGGCGAAGGCTATTAATCGGAAATACGGTGCGTATAGTGAGATCTGGTTTGTTGTCGACGTCGAGTTAATGGAGGAAGACAAAGGAGCGCTTGCGCAGAGCTTGATCGATGTGGTGAACGAGATAAGTTGCGCCTCCGATTACAGGTGTCCGGTCAAGAAGCAGTACTGCAATCTGGCAAGGAGGTTGAAGTTGCTGGTGCCAATGTTCGAGGAGATTAGAGAAAGTAAGGAGCCGATCCCTGAGGAGTCTCTTAAGGCTTTGCTTTCGCTGAAGGATGCGCTGGGCTATGCTAGGGAGTTACTCAGATTTGGTAGCGAAGGGAGTAAGATTTACCTGGTGCGTGAGTATCACTCTTTTTTTTTTTTTTTTTTTTTTATCTGCTGCTGGTTTGGTCCGTAGGCGTGCGCATTTTGTATCTCTGTTTGCATTCGATCTGTTTGGTTGCTGAGAAAATGCGGTGAAAGGTAATGGAACATGATTATTGTGCTATTTTTTAATTTTTTCCTTCTCGTGTAACCATTTCATTGGCTGATCGCATTTCAATGCTGCGGACGCTGCCGGAACATTTGTAGAAATTTCATTATCTAGCAAGTTATGTCTTATGTTCATTTTGAGAATACAAAAAGAAACTTTTATACTTAAATATAATTATAGTTAAATCAGCTGTAAAATCTCGATCCAAGTGATAAATGTGTAGTTCCATTTCTGCTATACCTGAGTGATTAGAACGGGCGACTTTTGGAAACGGAAGGCTACGCTAATTTTTTCAGGATTCAATCGGCTTCGCAGATGGTTAGACTGGGACAATCATGTTTTCTATGGATGCTATTCTCTTTGTTAGGTTATGTCGTATTTCTTTGGGAATAGTTCTTAATAAGATCATTTACTACCATATTTACCACTCTCTGAAGTAAAATTTTGTAGGTAATGCTGGGAGTGATTTGTTCTTCCCCCCCTTTTTTTAATATTGGCAATCTTTGTTAGAGACTAATGATATTCTTTCCATCCAGTGATTTTGAAATGGGAATCACGCAGTAAATTTCCTTACTCTCCCTCTTTCTATGCATTGGTTTGCAAACTTTGATTCTACCGAGATATCTGTTGAATATTATCTTGTTTCTTCTCATGTTTTGTTTACTCTACAATGCTAATCCGGTTCAACTTATGGATACGGCATCAATTTGTGGTCTTATAATACAGGAAGTCATCAGAAGAACTCTCGTGGAATCTAAGAATCGGAA